AAATCCACAGGGATCCAGCCCAAAATCCACAGGGATCCAGCCCAAAATCCACGGGGATCCTGCCCACAATCCAGGGGGATCCAGCCCAAAATCTACAGAGTTCCAACCCAAAATCCACAGGGATCCCACCCAAAATCCAGGGGGATCCCACCCAAACTCCAGCTGGGTTCGTGCAGTCAAAGAGAAATGTGTCCTGGGGCCTGTGAAAATTGGGAAAAATTCAATGAGTTCCTCACGGAGCCCCTTCCTGGAAGGGGAAAATCCTGTTTGGTTTTGGTTTGGAGGAGGAAAATCCTTATTTTTATTGGGTTTGGTTTGGAGGAAGATCTCTTTTTGCTTTTTTTTTTTGGAGGAAGAAAAAACTTGGTTTTGAGGAGGAGAATCCTCAGGTTTTTGTTTTGGAGGAGAAAAATCCACATTTTTTTGTTTTGGAGGAGGAAAATCCTTATGGTTTTCTTTTTGGAGGGGGAAAATCCTTATTTTTTTTGTTTTGGAGGAGGAAAATCCTTATCTTTTTTATTCTGGAGGAGGAATATCCATTTTTTTGTTGTTTTGGAGGAGGCAAATCCTCATTTTTTTATTTTGGAGGAAGAAAATCCTTATTGGTTATGTTTCAGAGGAGGAATTCGTTTTTTTCATTTTGGAGGAGAAAAATCCTTATTTTTTTGCTTTGGAGGAGGACAGTCCTTATTTTTTTCTTCCCAAGGGCCTTTATTGGCTGGTTTTGCTGCTGAGCAGTGTGGGTACCAGCCCAAAATCCAGCTAAATTAGGGAATGAATCCTCCTCTCACGTTCCCAGTGTTTGGGCAGGAGCCCCATTCCCTGCTCCCCTCCGGAGGTGGCTCCAGGAGCTCCTTCATCCCAGTATTCCCGTGTTTTTTCCAGGCTGATGAGCCCATCGCGGATTACGCAGCCATGGACGACGTTATGCAAGGTCAGAGGGGAGGGGGAGGGTTGGGGAGGGGCAAGAATTCGGGTGGGAAAGGTGGAAAAAGGGAATTGTGACATTTCCTTGTCATCCTTGGGATATTGATCCATCGGAACAACTTCTAACGCCTTCCTTTCCCTCCCATCCCAGTTTGTATGCCCGAAGAGGGATTTAAAGGTGAGTTTGGGTGATTCCCCCCCCTTTTGCCCAAATTCCACCCCCATCCCACCTCCCTCCTCATCTCCTGGTGATGTTTTATCCCCCCCAGGGACTGGTTTACTCGGCCACTGATGGTTTTCCAAGAGGAGCGACCCGAAGGGAAGAGGATTTGGAACGTGGTAGGGCATTAAAAGCATCCAAAAAAAAAGGTGGTTACGGGACTTTGTGACTCTTCCAGAAAGCAGGAAAACCCCCGAGTGAGGCGTGTGCTCCCCAAAGCAAACCAAACCAATGCCTTATGTCAAAGCAGATTGCACTGAGGGACATTCCTGCTCCAGGAGAACGTCCCGGGTTGGTTTAATAAAGAGCAGGAAGGTTGGGAAGTTGAGCAGCAGTTGGTGTGTTCGGGGCGAGGGGGTGTCCCCATGATCCCATAGATTCCAACCATCCTGCTCCATCCTCCTCTTTAGGATAACCCTGTCTTTGATCCACTGTCAGGCCAGCTTGGAAGTGCAGGAGTTGGGACTGGGTGAGGAATGTCTGGCAGACAACGAATCTTTGTTGATTTGACCCCAAATGGGAGCTGGGATCTGCTTCCCAAACCTTCCCCAGGGCCGCATCCCTCTCTGCATCCCTCTGCCACTTCCACACCTTGGATGATCCAAGAACCATCTGGGCTCTGGGAACTGGGTTGGGGTTTTTTTTCTAGAAATTTGGGGTATTTTAGTCACTCTGGAGAACATTTTCTTCCAGGAGTGCTTGGGACAGCCGGAGCCAGCAGGGGGGTGCAGGTGGGAAGCATTTCCCATGGGAAGAGGGGGTTTTTCCCCCTTTATCCTCATTTTTCAACAATGCACTAATTATTATTATTATTATTATTATTAACATCTCCCAGCAAGGATTTCTCCCCATTAATATTTAGCAGGAACTATCCCACTTCCAGATTGATCCATACCAGGCACTGCCGAGGGATCTCTGTCCTGAAATTCCAGGTTTCCTCTTCCTTTCCAGCCTTTTCCCTTGTTTCCCTGGAAAAATACGATGTGGAGATCACATCAGTTTTATTTTGTCAAGGTTTGCAGAAATTTGGGATGCAAAAAGAGGGGGGAGGGGCACAAATCCCATCCCCCAAAACTCCACTGGATTTGATTTCCGAGGTTTGATTTCCAAGGTTTTATCCGAAGAATTCCAGCTGTTCTTTGCCAAACCCCCTCCTCCCTGTCCCCGCTGCGTTTGGGGGTGAAGCAGCAGCATTTGAGGGGCTGTAAAGCTCCTAAAAAGAGGGGGTTTGGGGCAGTTTGGAGCCGTGGATTCTTTCCCAAGGTACAGACATGAGGAATTCCATGTGCCGAAGCCACGAGAGGTTTTTTCTTCCCAGCCTGAAGCACTCGCTTGTGTACATATTCCTTGGAAATTCCATCTTTTCAAGTTGCTGTTCATTTTTTTTAATGTTATATATATATATATATATAAAAAAGAAAACACAAAAATCTCTTCCTTGAGCTTATCCTGTTGTTGTGGGAGGCGATCCGGGGGGGCCCTGGGGGTGTTCCGGGGCCGCAGTGGTTCCGACAGCGCCGGATCCTCTGGAGGACACAGGTGTGATCCCAGGGCCCCGTTCCTGTTTTGTCTGTTATTTGCAAATATTATCGGATTAAAGTTGTCATTGGAGCCATGGCAGCCTCGTTGCAGTGCAGACACGTGGGATGAGGGTGGTGGAGCAAAGGGGGGGGGGGTATCCCATAAATCCCGCTCTGAGCTGTCCCAAAAAGGGCTGTGGGGTGGGATGGGAGCAAGTGGGATCCTGCTGGAGTGGGAATCCCCCCACCCTCGGCACAGGGTTTATGGAGCCCTGGCCCTGTCACATCCCAGCTGCTGTGTCCCCAGGGGCTTCCGTGTCCCCCTGGTGTGCCAGCCCCACTCTCCTTCTCCCCTGGAGCCGATGCCAGCCCCTCCTTGGGGGTCCCCGAGCTGGGGGGGTCCCCCTGGGCCAGGGAGATGGGTGCTGGGTGGGGGGGTCACTCATGGCCTGGGTGCTGGTGGGGGGGAGAGAGGGGCCTTGGGGTGATGGGGGAAATTAGGGTTGGGGGGGGTCAGGAATGGGGGGTTATGGGTGGATGGGGTACCCTACGTGCCAGGGAGGGAGGGAGGGAGGGGGTGCCCTGGGTACTGGGGGAATTGGTTGAGGGGGGTACCCTGAGTGCCAGGGATGGATGGAAGGGGTGCCCTGGGTACCAGGAATGGGGGTTATGGATGAGGGAGTTACCTGGGTTAGCAGGGATGGACAGACTGGGGGTGGGAGAGGGCCTTGAGTACCAGGGATGGAAATGGGAGTTCCCTGAGTACCAGGAATGGAGGGAACCAAGGGTGGGGAGGTATGAGTGGGGGGGGCTGCTCTGGGTTCCAGGGAGGGATGTGGGGGGAGCCCCGCGAGCCAAACTGGGAGGGGGTTGCGGGTGATGGGCAGAGCGGTGCCCGGATTCCAACCGCGGGCAGGGGGATGGAGACACTGCCCGGGGGACAGGGAGGGGCTTGGGGGGTCCCCCGTCCGCGGGGACCTGTGCGCTGGGGAGGGAGGGGACACCCAGGGGGTGACATCAGGGATGGAGGGGGATCCCCGGTTCTGGATCCCGGTGCCCGGTTCCGGCGCCGTTTTGCCGGTGCCGGTGTCCGGCGGTGTGTCCGCGGTGCCGGTGCCCGGTGCGGTGCCCGGTTCGCGGTGCCAGTGCCGGTTCCCGGTGCCGGTTCCCGGTGCCGGTTCCCGGTCCCGCCGCCCCCGGAGGGGCCGCCCCGCCCCGCCGCACGTGACGCTGCGCGGTGGCAGCGAGCGCCGGGGCCCCGCTCGGCTCCGCTCGGTACCGGCCCCGCTCCGGGACCGCCCCGGCCCCGCCGCCCCCGGTAAGTGCCGCCCCGAGGGGACCGGGCACGGGGGTCCCCGCGGAGAACCCCCCCAGGGTGTCCCCCCCAGCCCCGACGCAGCACCGGGGGGTCCGTCCGCCGGTGACCTTCAGTGCCGCCGGTACCGGGGGAGGGGATGGCCGGGGGATGCTCCGGGCCTGGGGGGGAAGGACGCGGGTTGGGGAGGGGGCGGGAGGGACGAGTCCCCCATTTACCCCCCAATCCGTCCCCACAATATCTCCCCCACAGTTACACCCTGCATCCTGGCCCCCCCCAAACCTACACCACCCCCCGGATACCCCAAAATCCACCTCCCCCCGCTCCTGCCCCTCATCGTTTCCTCTCCCTACCCCAGTCTCCCCACTCTGCCTCCCGTGTCCCCTCCCCTAAACTCACCCTGTGCCCCCCAGCCTGGAGCCACATTTAGGGCACCCCCCCCCAGTGCTGCCCCTCACCCTCCCCGGGACTGCCCCCCAGTTTGGGTGCTGGGAAGGGGGGTGAGCGATAACGGAGCCCCCCAAGGACCCGCCAGCCCGGCGGGGTCACACTGCGGCCCAGGGGTGCCACGGGGCGCGTTTGCAGAGGGTCGCGTTGGCGCGGGGACGGGTGGCAGTGTCGCATTGGCACCGGGGTCGCCTTGGCACGGGGACAGCGGGGTCGTGCGGGCTCGGGGCCGGGTCACGCGTGCCCCGGGGCTGTGCCGGGCTGCGGCTGTGTTTGCACAGGGCTGGGTCGCACCCGCACCGCGCCGGGTTTGCACCACGGCCGTGTTTGCTCAGGGACGGGGCTCGGCTGCACCTCCTTGGCACGGGCACGGGGACAGCGGCGCGAGGGTCCCTTTGGCACCGGGGGCGTCATTGTGTTTGCACGGGACCCGGGCACGTTTGCACCAGGGCTGTGCTTGCACCAGTGTCGCGTTTGCACGGGGACAGTGGCGTTGGCACAGGGATGGTCACACTAGCACGAGGAGGGTGGCATTTGCACGGGGACGGTGACATTTGCACAGGGCTGGTGACACTTGCATGATGGCCTTGGCCCTGTCACATCCCGGCCCTGTCCCCACCCTGGCGTGTCCCCGGGGAGGTCCCTGCCAACCCCCCCCTCCACGGTGCCACCCTCCCTCCTCCCTGCCTGGAGCTTGTGCCCGTGCCACGGGGATGGCGGCACTTTGACTGCGTCGGTGACACCGGCATGGGGGTTGGTGACACTGGCACGGGCATGGTCACATTGACACGGGGTCAGCGACACTTGCACGGGGATGGTGACGCTGGCACGGGGATGGTGACACTGGCACCGGGTCGGTGACACTGGCACGGGGATGGTCAAATTGGCGCGGGGTTGGTGACACTTTCGCGGGGTCGGTGACACTCCCGGGGTCGGTGACAGTGGCCCGGGGCGGGTCCCGGTGCCCGGCGCTGTCCGTGGTGCTGCCCCCGCGCCGCCGCCTCCCGCCGGCAGAGGGAGCCCCTCGGGTTGGGGGGGTGGGTGCGATGAGTTGGGGGGGGTCTCAGCGGCCGGATCCCCCTGTGCAGTGACCCCGCACCCCCCGCTCCCGCCCCCCCCGGCCCGCAGCCGGGCGGCCCTGGCAGGGTGGGCCTTGCCCCGCTGCCATCCCTCGGCTCCAGGGGTGGCACCGCTGCCCGGGCGTCCCGGCGAGGGGTTGTGGGGGAGTTCTCCTCTCCCCCAGGAAGCGCCATGGGCCCCCCCGGACCCCTTCGCACCACCTAGACGTGTCTCCAGCCAGCACCACCACCCCACCCCCAGGTAAGCCCCCATAGGGTGCTCCCCACCCAAGGGTGTCAGTCCCAGTGGGGTGACAGGCACCCACAGCCCCCCTCTCCCCAGGGCAGCAGGATGGCCCAGCAGCGCCACGCCGTCCCCCCGCCACTCAAGGTAGGTGTCATGGGGGGGGGGGGGCACCCAACCAGCACCCAGAGGAGCCAGCATGGCCATCACCCACTCCAGTAGCCACAGGTACCACCGTGGCCATCACTTACTCCTTGTCTTGCAGACGGAGGAGGATTACATCCCCTACCCCAGCGTGCACGAGGTAGAGCACCCACCCCCTCCAGAGAGGGGTGGGAGGGCCACTGGGTGGGGTGTGGGGGTGTGGGTGGGCGCCCAGAGCACCCACCGTGGCACTGGGTGCAGGTGCTGGGCCGGGAGGGGCCGTTCCCCCTCATCCTCCTGCCACAGTTCGGGGGTTACTGGATAGAGGGCACCAACCACCAGCTGAGCGGGACCCCCGACTCGCCCCCCACCCCGGCCCCCGGCACCAGGGCAAAGCTGGAGGGCAACCACACGGCCAAGATCTACCGCAAGCACTTCCTGGGCAAGGTGAGGCCCCGGGGGGCTGCAGGTGTGGGGTCTGGGGGTGAGAGGACCACCCCATGGATGTGGGTGGGCATGGGTATGGTCACAGAGACCTCATGCACATGGGTGCTCATGCATAGGGGTGCTCATGGCCATGAGTGTGGGTATCCATGACTATGGGGGCCCCATGGAACTGGGTGCTCATGGACATGGTACCCTATGGCATGGGTGCTCATGGGTGTGGGTGTGTGCTCCTGTGGGTGCAGAAGCCCCATGGGAAGGGGTGCTCATGGGCCTGAGTGCTCCTGGAGGTGGATGTCAGGTATCCACAGGCATGGGAGCCCCATGATTTGGGTGTTCATGTACATGGGTGCCCCACAACAAGGGTGCTTGGGTGGGTGGGTTCCCCATGGGTATGGACAGGTATGGGCATGGAGACCTCGTAAGCATGGATGCTTTTGCATGTGAGTGCTCCTGGACATGGGTACCCCATGGATATAGGAGCCCCGTGGAACTGGGTGCTCATGGAGGTGGGTATTGGGTATCCATGGGCATGGGAGCCCCATGGGGGTGGGTGCTCAGGGACATGGGTGTTCATGGGTGTGTGTATTTATGGGCACGGGTGACCAATAACCTGGGTGTCCCATGGACATGGGTGATTATGTATGTGGGTGCTCCAAGGGGATGGGTGCTCATGGATGTGGGGGCTCAGGGACCTCGGTGCTCCATGGATGGGTGAGTGTAGATGTGGATGTCCATGGGCACGGGGAACCTACAAGTGTCCGTAGGATGGGTGTCCCATGGACATGGGTGCTCATGGATGACAGTGCCTAAGGACATGGGTACCCCGTGGGATGGGTGCTCATGGACACGGGGGTGCCCCATGAGTGTGCACAGGTATGGGGTCCCCATAAGCACAGGTGCTCATGGGTGGTCATGGATGATGGTGCTCATGGACACGAGTGCCCTGTGGGGATAGATGCTCATGGATATGGGTGCCCATGGATGGTGGTGCTCATGGACACGGGTGCCCCATGGATAAGGTGCCCCATGGGGATGGGCCCTCATGGGTGATGATGTCCATGAGTATGGGTGCTGGTGGATGATGGTGCTCACGGATACAGGTGCTCATGGACACTGGTGTCTCATGGATATGGGTGCTCATGGACGTGGGTACCCCATGGATATATATGGGTGCTCATGGATGGTGGCGCTCATGGATGATGATGCCCATGGATATGGGTGCCCCATGGACATGGGTGCTCATGGATGACGGTGCTCACGGATTGGGGTGTCCCCCATCTCGGGTGCCCCCCCATGAGCCCCCACTGGCCTGGCCACGGGTGCTTGGCCCCCCCCACAGGAGCACTTCAACTACTACTCCCTGGACCCGGCCCTGGGCCACCTCGTCTTCTCCCTCAAGTACGACGAGCAGGAGCACCTCCACCTGCTGCTGCGGTGAGCGGGGTGCAGGGGCACCCACGGGTGCTGTCTGGGGGCAAGGATCCCCCCTGACCCCCTCCTCACCCCACAGCACCCGTGCCCGCACCCTGCACGACGTGGTGCCCATCTCCTGCCTGGCTGAGTTCCCCAATGTGGTGCAGATGGCCAAGGTGGGTGTGGCCCCCATACCAACACCATGGGTGCCCCCAAAATGCCCTTGGCAGCACCCATGGGTGCCCCCCGACCCCCTCATGGCATCACCCCCCTTCCCACAGCTGGTGTGTGAGGACGTCAACGTGGATCGGTTCTACCCTGTGCTCTACCCCAAGGTAACGGGGTGTGGGGAGGGGGGCACGTGGGCACCCATGGGTGCCCTCCACCCCCAACCTCTGACCCCGCCCCACCCCGCAGGCCTCCCGCCTCATCCTCGCCTTCGACGAGCACGTGCTCAGCAACCACTTCAAATTTGGGGTCATCTATCAAAAACTGGGGCAGGTACGGGCTGGGGTGGGGTGGGGTGGGTGGGGGTGAGGGGGGTGTCCCGGGTGGGTGCTGCCACCCATCCCCACCCCCCACAGACCTCAGAGGAGGAGCTTTTTGGCACCACGGAGGAGAGCCCAGCCTTCGCCGAATTCCTCGACGTCCTGGGCCAGCGGGTGCAGCTGCGGGACTTCAAGGGGTGCGTGGGGGGTGCTGGGGGGGAAGGGGGGCACCCGTGGGTGCTCAGGGTGTCTGTCTCACACACCCACCCAGGTTCCGGGGGGGGCTGGACGTGACCCACGGGCAGACGGGCAGCGAGTCCGTCTACTGCCACTTCCGAGACAAGGAGATCATGTTCCACGTGTCCACCAAACTGCCCTACACCGAGGGGGACGCCCAGCAGGTGAGCACCCAGGGGTGCTGGGGGGTGTCTGTGGGGGGCCACGGGGTCCTGGGACACCCAGGGGTGCTGAGGGGTAAACGGGGAGCAAGGGTTGGGGGGAACACATGGGTGCTTGAGAGGGATGGGGGTGTAGTTGGTCCTGCGGCACCCCCATGGGTGGGAGGGCTGGTGGGGCATCTGTGGGTGCTGGGGGGGTATCTGTGGGATGCAGGGGACTCCTGGGGCACCCATGGGTGCCGGGGGGGACATTTATGAGTCACAAAGGCTAGCAGCAAAGCCCATGGGTGAGGAGTGCGTGTTTGTGGAATGCAGGGGACTCCCGGGGCCCCCATGGGTGCTGGGGAATGGTCTGTGGACTACAAAAGCTCTAGGAACACCCACGGGTGCTGAGGGACATCTATGGGATGCAGAGGGCTGGTAAAGCATCCACGAGTACCAGGGGAAAAATATGGGATGCAAGGGACTGGTGGAGCACCCATGGGTGCTGAGGGGCATCTGTGGGATTCTGGGGTCTTCCATTCCCTTTGGCCCCATGGTGTGACCACCCTCTGTCCCTCATACCTTGCTGTGTCCCCCCTCCTCCCCACCCTCTGTCCCCCGTGTCTCTCCGTGGCTCCCCGTCCCCACAGCTGCAGCGGAAGCGCCACATCGGGAACGACATCGTGGCCATCGTCTTCCAGGACGAGAACACGCCGTTCGTGCCCGACATGATCGCCTCCAACTTCCTCCACGCCTTCGTGGTGGTGCAGCTGGAGCTGGGGGGCACCCAGGGCACCCTCTACAAGGTACCCCCCCCCCTGCCCCCACGGCCTCTCCCGGCTCCGGGGGGGCCCCTGGGGTGTCCCGTCACCCCTCCGCCTGCCGCAGGTCTCGGTCACTGCCCGTGACGACGTGCCCTTCTTCGGCCCTCCGCTGCCCGACCCCGCCGTCTTCAGGAAGGTGAGCGCCCGTGGGTGCTGCTGGGGGGGCCCTGCTGGCACCCCCCACCCACGCACCCACTCGGGGCCCCCTCGCCCCGCAGGGCCCTGAGTTCCAGGAGTTCCTGCTGACGAAGCTCATCAACGCCGAGTACGCCTGTTACCGGGCTGAGAAGTTCGCCAAGCTGGAGGTGCGGGCATGGGGTGGGGCTGGGGGGGCACCGGGGGGCGTGGGGTGGGCACAGGGGGGCTGGGGGGGCACCCGGGGGCAGTCTGGCTGGGAGGGGGCTGGGAGGGCCATGGGGCACAACGTGGGGCACAACGTGGGGCCGTGGATGTGGGCGCCGTGTCCGTGGAACCTGGACACGCCGTGGGGGGTGCTCGTGGGTGGGCAGGGGGTAGGTGCAGTGCAGGGGTGGATGCAGAGTGCGGGGGAGGGGGGTGGTCCTGCGTGGGTGACAGATGTGTGGTGCGTGGGTGGGTGTCTCACGCGGGCGCAGCCGTGCGGGGGTGGGTGTGGGGTTGGTCCCGCAGGGATGCAGCCGTGCGGGGGGTGGGTGCGGGGTTGGTCCCGCAGGGATGCAGCCGTGCGGGGGTGGGTGTGGGGTTGGTCCCGCAGGGATGCAGCCGTGCGGGGGGTGGGTGGTCCCGCGCGGTCTCAGCGGTGCAGGGGGTGGGTGCGGGGGGTGGGTGCGGGGCGGGTGGTCCCACTCGGGCTCAGCCCCGCGGGGTCGGGGCAGGAGCGGACGCGGGCGGCGCTGCTGGAGACGCTGCACGAGGAGCTGCAGGCCCGCAGCCAGGCCATGCTGGGGCTCGGCCCCGACGACGAGCGCCCCGACAACGGCGCGGCCGCCCCGGGCTTCTTCGAGTCCTTCAAGGTGGGGGCACGGGGGGGTCACGCACTCCCCGGACCCCGCACCCAGCACTGTGGGGGCCGTGCCCCTCCCTGGAGGCCCGGGGCCGGGACCCCCCCCCTCCCCACCCCGGACACCCCGATGTGTTCTCCCCCCGCCAGACCCCTCCCCGGGGTCGCCTGAGAAAGCCCCGCCCCGGACACGCCCCCTCCGCTCTGGCCACGCCCACATCAGAGTTTTAGTGCGGTTGAGGCCACGCCCTCGTCTGAGACCACGCCCCCTCCTTAGGATGTCACGCCCGTTTATCCATAAGCCACGCCCCCACACCACCCCGCGCCTTGCTCATCACCATAAACCACGCCCCGTTCCAAGCCACGCCCACTCCACGGGCTCCGCCCATCTTCTGCCCCGCCCCCTTCCCGCAGTCCCGTTCATTGCGCGGCCACGCCCCTCCCCTGGCCCCGCCCCCGGTGTCCCCCCCAGTGTCCATTGCCCCCTGTCCCCCTCGGTGTCCCCGCGGTACCCGGTCCTCCCCCACTGTGTCCCCCCCGTGCTCACTGCCCTTCCCCGATGCCCCCCCCGGTGCCCACTGCCCCCCCTCCGGTGTCCATTGTCTCCCTGGTGTCCCCCCGGTGCCTCCCGGTGCCCCCCGGTGCCCACTGCCCCCCGGTGCCCCCGGTCGGTGGGTGACGCGGTGCCGCCCGCAGTCGCTGCTGGTGCCCGGGAGCCGCCGGGGACGCCGCGGCAGCGCCATCGGGCTGGGCTCGGTGGAAGAGGTGGGTCCCCGCGGATCGTCCCCCCTCCATTTCCCCCCGTCCCCGCTGTCCCCCCGTTAACGGCGCCCCGCAGGCGCTGCTGGTGCCCGGGAAGAGCCCGTCCCGGCGGCGGCCCGGCCCGCTCGGCTCCCGCCGCTCCAGCGCCATCGGCATCGAGAGCATCCAGGAGGCGCCGGCCGGCAGGTGAGCGGTGTCCCCTCCCCGTGTCCCCTCCCCGTGTCCCCTCCCGCCGTCACCTCACTGCCACCGCCCCCCGCAGGGACGGCCCCGCCGCCCCCGAGGGCTCCGGCTCCACTCACAGCTCCCCCGAGAGCCGCCGGCACCACGACAGGTCCCCGCCCGGACACGGGGGGCCCGGGGACGGGAGGGGTGGCACCGCGGTGGGAAGACACGGGGGCGTGAGGGCACTGGGATGATGTGGCAAGGGGATGGGGTGGCACCGGGATGCGTGGCACCAAGGTGGGGTGGGATGGGGACGGGGTGATAACAGGGTGACACGGGGGCTGGAGGGCACTGGGATGGGGCAGCACAAGAACAGGGTGACACTGGGACATGGTGGCACTGGGGATGGCGTGGCACTGGGATGAGGTGACATAGGGACATGGGGATTGGCAGTGCACCCCTTGGAGGACACTGGGATGGGCAGTGCAAGGACAAGGGGCACTGGGATGGGGTGACATCAAGGTGACATGAGCACTGAAGGGCGCTGAGATGGAGCAGCTCAAGGACAGGGTGGCACTGGGATCAGATGGTACCAGCACGACACGGGCACTGGGATGGGGCAGCCCAAGGATGAGGTGGCACTGGGATGGGGTGACATCAGGGTGACACAGGGACAGGGTGACATGGGGACTGGAGAGCACTGGGAAGGGACAGCTCAAGAGACATTGAGACATGGTGGCACTGGGGATGGCGTGGCACTGGGATGAGGTGACATAGGGACATGGGGATTGGCAGTGCACCCCCTGGAGGACACTGGGATGGGCAGTGCAAGGACAAGGGGCACTGGGGTGGGGTGACATGGGATGGCACGTGGTACCAGGGTGACATGGGGACTGCAGGGTGCTGGGATGGTGCAGCACAGGAATGCAGTGGGCCAGGGTGACCTTGGGGTGGAGTGACACTGGGATGAGGTGGCACAGAGACAGGATGACATGGGGACTGGAGGGCACTGGGATGGGGCACATGAGATGGGATGGCACTGGGCCAAGGTGGCACAGGATGGCACAGGAACCATGGGGACAGGACACCAGAGGGATGGGGTGTCACAGGGACAGGGTCGCCCAGGAGCCGAGTGGCACAGGGCCTGTATGGCACAGAGACAAGGTGACAGGGGGCTGTGGGATTCAGGTGGCACTTGGGTGTCTTGGGCACAGGGTGGCACAGAGGTAGGCTGGCACAGGGACACATGGCATGGGGACAGGTTGGTGTGATGAGAAGGATATAGGGGTAGGACTGCATGGGGCTGGGACATCCCACGGGTGGGATGGTGTGGGGACAGGGTGTCACAGGGATGGGACTTCCCAGGCATGGGATGGCACAGGAATGCAGTGTCCTGGGATGGGGTGGCATGGGGACGGGACATGGCAGGGGTGGGATGGCATGGGGACAGCATGGCACGAGGATGGGACACCCCAGGGACAGGGTGGCATGGGAATGCAGTGTCCCAGGATGGGGTGGCACAGGGACGGGGTGTCCTGGGGCCAGCACCGTATCGTGGCGGGTCATGGCAGTGGCCACGGGGCGCGGTGCCAGCCTGTCGTGCCCTTGGGGACTGTCCCTGGCCACGGGCACTGTCCCTGGCAGGGCCGAGAAGCCGGAGCCGCCGGATTTCTCCCGCTCCTCCTCCAGTGCCAGCAGCTTCGGCAGCGCCGCTGAGGAGCCCGAGCCGGGCCGGGTACGGGGTGCCCGGGGGCAGGGTGGGTGCTGGGGGGACCGACGGGGGGACAGCACCCCCGTGACCCCCCCTGCCCCCTTAGGAGAGCCGCTCACCCTCGGGAACCCACCGCAACGCCTTCCCCGAAACCCCCTGGCCGGATGACCCCCCCGGGACCCCCCCAGGTGCCCCCCAGGAGCCCCTGAACACCCGGAGCCCCCCCAGTAGCCCCTCACCGGGGCATCAGGGCCCCACGGGCTGGGGGTCCCCCCGGGGTACTCATGGTCCCCCCTTTCCCCCAGGCCGCCGCCCCCCCGACTCCCCCTGCCCCGAGATCAAAATCCAGCTGGAGCAGCCCCCCCATAATCCGGTGAGGTTGTGCCCCCCCCACCAGTGCACCCCAGTACGGGGGTACCCCCACTGGGGTGCCCCCACTGATGTCCCTTCCACAGGGCTCATAGTCACCCCCCCACCCGCGGGGGGGTCACCGCTTCGCCCCCCCATTCCCTCCGTGTGCCACCCCCATGCCAGGAGCTGAAGCCATCGTCCCCGGTGCAGGATTTGGGGGGACCCCCCCAAAAATGGGAGTGTCCCCCCCTCCAGACAATCTCTGTCACCCCAAATACCCCTCGGGGGAGGGAGGGTGATGCACCACAAAGGGGCCCCCCTCTGCCGTGACCCCAAAATGAGGAGCGGGTCCAACCCCAGCATCACCCCCTTCCTACAAAAGAAATGGGGGGCTCAAATCCAGGGTAACCCCAAAGTGGGGCTCCCCCTCCCCACCTTTATTTTAAGGGAGAAAAGCTCCGGAATGGGTCGGAGGCTGGAACTGGGGGGAGGATTATTTTTTCACACCTCCCCAACTCGTGTTTGTGTTTCCTGTGAGTCCTGTATAAAATAAAGGTTTATTTATCGCTACAGCAGGTGGCCCCCAATATCTGGGCTGGGGGGTGTCCCCAAAACCCCAAACATCAGCGGGGGCTATAAAAACACCCCCAAATTCACCCATTCGGGGGGTCACTTAAGCCAAATTTTGAGGTTTCCCAGCAGCCAGGCCAAGCAAAGCCTTTCTTTGATGCTCTCTATTTTTGGGAGGGGGCTGCGGGTACCCCAAAACACGGCAGGCAATGGCTTCACCCCCCCCCAAAACCAGCCTCTGCTTGGCTCCCGTGGTCAGCCCGGCGTCGGGAGCGGCGTTTGGCCGCGGCCCCGGTGGCCGCCGGCGTCCTGCCAACCCCCCGGCCAAGAGAACGTGGTTCCCCCCCCCCTCCGAACCCCCAAAAACCACGCGGCACCCCGGGAGCGGTTAAACATAGCCCGGGGCTGCCGGAGTTCTGGGAAGCGCCGGCGGTGGGGCTGTGGTTGGGATCCGGCGACGCCGGCAATGCCGGGGGGGAGCAAAGGGTGCCGGGCAAGGGGGGGTGTCAGAGCCCCCCCAAACCCAGCCTCGAGGAGGTCACCGACTGCAGCCCCCCCACGAAGGGCCCTGGTTAATGAGGAACCACGTTTTTAATTATGAAACTGGTGAATGAATAAGAAAAACAGGGGTGGGGTTTATTTAGGGGAGGGCCGGAGGGTCCGAGAGGGGTTCGGAGGTGCTCAGGGGGGGTTGTTGGCAGTGCCCAGCTCAGCTGGGGCGTGCAAGGGCTGCTCGTGGGGGGGAATTGGCACGGGAACGTGGTGTGGGAACGTGGTGTTGGCTCAGCCAGGGCAGGGCTTGCACGAGCACAGGGACCACCCGTGCCTCCCGTGGGGGGGGGGTCACACGGGCACGGGGAAATCTGCACGTGCAAGGAGCGTTTTGCACGAGCACAGTGACATCTCCACGTTTGGCCAGGCACTGCACACACGTGGTGGCTTTTCACACGTGCCCGGCGGCATTTCACCCGTGCGGTGACACCTCTGTGGGCACCGGGGCGTGTCACACGGGCACGGGGAACATCTTGCACACGCAAAACACCTCATGCACAGGCACGGTGACCTTTGCACGTGCACGGGGGGGATCTCAGACGTGCGCGGTGACATTTGTGTGTGCAAGGAGCCA